TTTTTTTTTTTTATAATCTACTCCATCTAGATTATCCATCTATTTGAATCTTCAAAAATGTCCTCTGTTTTTACTCGTTCCTAACTGTATTTTTCTTCCACAGAAGACTCAAGTATGCGTAAGTATTACTTTTTTAAAACCTTTTTTACTATACTATTCAATAAAGAGCTGATTCCTCTTGTCAGAAACAGTCACCCTTGGCTCCTTGTTCTTTTTGATCTGAAATGTATGAAACTGGTGGATTATGATATTTAATAATTGTAGTATTCCTGTAAATGAGATTCAAAGTATCCTATAATATGCTGGTTTCTGAGCATTCTGCAGGTTATATCATATTTCTGGTTGGGCATTGTAGCTTTCTTTTAGATGACAGTTTGCTTTTGGATTATGTTTAATTTTGTTATAAGGGTTACAAAGTGATTTGTATTTTATAGGGCTGCATGATAAATCGCATGCGATATTTAACGCACATCTTGTCAGAAAAGCCGGTTCTGTAATCAGCGGTAAATCTCCATCACGTGCGGGCTTTCACATGGAGCAGCATTAACTACACAGAGCCGTTGTTCACTGACGAGCTGCGCAAAACCACGTTCATATTCGCGCGATTTTTTGCACAGCTCGTCAGTGAACACCGGCTTTGTGTAGTTAATGCTGCTCAATGTGAAAGCCCGCACGTGATGGAGATTTACCGCTGATTACAGAACCGGCTTTCTGACAAGATGCGCGTTAAATGTTGCATTCGATTTATCGTGCAGCCCTAGTATTTTATGATAGGTTGCAAGGATATGTCTTGTGCTGTTGATTTTGTCTTAATCCATACAACTCATTTACTTATTTAATTTATTTTAATTAATTTTTTTATTTTTTTGCAGCTACATGGGCAAAAGCAATGCTTGGTATAGGTGTTGTGGGTAAGTCACATTCTGCATAATTCACCTGATAATCTACATGTCCTATACCTTCTTTTTATTCAATACAATCAAAAAATATGTTAAGTTGTTGCAGTGTTGGGCTTTAAAGGGTACATCAGATGCCCATTTTCCACAAGTTGGTATGATTCTTTAGGGTCTTAATGAAAAGTGTACTTTGGTTAAAATTTCTCAATGCTAGTGTAAAACGACACCCTTTTTACCATTGTCAAAAACAGCTCTGTTCACAGGGACCCATTTCGGTGCATGTCCCTTTAAATGCTAATGAGTTCTGCTCACCAGGCCCCTCTCTTCCATGGGGTGACGAGCCGTTCTCTAGACTTAACTTTAGCCGCATTCGTCGCGCAACTTGCCAACTAGCACATTATTAGGAAAGGCGATTTGCAAAGATTAATTAAAAATACGTATAGAACGGATAGTTCCGGTCCTTGATTCTGATTGGTTGAGCAGCGTTCCAAGTTGTTGTAAATTACTCTACAAACATACACCTAGTTGCGTCAGTGTGTTGCTCGACAACCACTTTGTTGCAACCACAGCTGTTTCTGAGGGACTTCATTGTTTGGTGGAATAATTAATATGTTTTTAATATAATGAATAATGTTTTTATTAATATCATTACATTTAATTTGCTTCGTTTTATTTTGTGAAACTTTGCTACGCTCTGCCTCGTGTCTAACAACGCCCCTTAGCTGTTATAAATTCACTGTAAACCACGGCTTCTTGGGACTTATTGCTTTATTTTATACTCACTCCAGATGAAGCTGGATCACGAATGATTCGCACGAACAGACGCATTTAGGTAGATCGGGGACGCATTCCCTTAAAAAACAAAAGTAAGCCTCTGCGTCTTCAGCGGCTCTGATGTCGGGAGTAAATGATGACTGCTATGTTTATGATTGCATCCAACAACAAAACACCGCAGTCGCTTAGAAGACATTCTTGTCTACGTCCCTGCTCCGGCGTCGAAACAATGGCGGACTGTTTACAGCTCACTCAGGGCGGGTCTATGCTGAAACACCAGTCAATCAACAATCGTGGGGCGTCCTGGGTCTGTGTGATGTCACATAGCCAAGAATCTGTGAACGGCTTGATCTGAGAAAGTGGTTATGATCTGAGGGGATTAAAAAAAAAAAAAAAAAAACACACATTTATGTTCAAACACCAAACAACAAAAGTGAATTTTTCATCTGATGTCCCCTTTAAAATGTCTGGGTTTGGTTCCAGGGATTTAAAAAAAATACAACAGTTAGGTTTTTTTTTTCTTTTTTTTTTCAAAAAGTCTAATCAATCAGCTCATCTTTTATAATACAAAATGCAAGGAAACTGAGAATATGATTTTTTGATAATGACTGTTTTCTGGAAAATAAGTCTCACCTGATTATCACACTGGGCTAAAATAGCATTGAGACAAAAATTTTTAAATGTATAATAAACATGTATTTCAGGTCCCTTCACTTCACAACAAATCCTTTAAACTTTTTTTCTTTTCTGTTCTGAATACTGTTAAATTTAAAGTAAAGCTAATGTATATTATAGTGGCATTTATTATTAACAGCATTTATAAATGTCAAGCCTAAACAAATTTGTTTAAATTGTAACTGGATCTACTGGTGTGTGAGAAATGTGCTATGTACACTTGGACTGACATACCTCTCTCATTCAGCACAAATCCAAATGTGTGCGTTTGCATGTGTTTTGCATGCTTAACGTAAATTGCATTGTGTAAGTTGCAGCACGTTTCATATGATAAAAAGCGACCTGTATTCTGAAAAACTTTGCAAGTTTCGATGGGACTACAACCTCGCCTGAAAAAAGAAATTATAGGCCTCTGAATAAAGGCCTCTAATAGCAAATCAATGCGTTTTTGTAAAAAAAAAAAAAAAAAATCCATATTTAAAATGATATAAACAGTTTTGTGCAACTTCTGCTGTCTGTGTGCTTGTGCGTCGGATGTGTGTGTGTGTAGAAAACTTCTCACAGCTGTCCCGAGCAGAGTATGTGAGCTGAGTGGAGCTGCAACAATTTCCCCTCCACGTTTCGAGCATTTAATAATCACTCCGCTCCGGGTTCACCATTTCCCGATCCACTCCTTGCTCACTGATATCAGAAGCTCCGCCGTAGGGTTAGGGTTACCCTAACCCTAACCTCCGCTAAAGTATTTCTGTATGTTTGAAATATCACAGTTCTGTTCATAACGTATATTAAAAGAAGATAATAAAATAAATGAACAGGAGAGTTTCAAATTGGCTTATTGGAACACTAGTGTGCAAACTTTTTTCCTACCACATGCCAAGCTAATAACATGGTTGTCAGCATTAAAATGTATAATCAGTGCTTGAAGTGGGCCAGTACAGTTCTATATTTTAGTCTTTAGCATACTGGCACTTCTGACATGTTGCCGGTACTCAGAGTCAAAGCGTCAGTGTCTGGGTGATTAGAAATGCCAATATATCACACTACCAGGAGGGGTCACCTCTCATCTCGACAATTCATGAGAATGAATGCAAGCAGAGTCGGTCTACTTCAGCGAGAGATTATGTCAGAATAATAATTAATTATTGATTACTAATTTTAATCAGTACATTATAGGCTAACAAAAACAATACCTTAACAGCTAACAGAAGCAGGTTATTGCGATCGCATCATTTTAAACCGGTAAACTGCTGGAATTGGAAAGTCCAAGGAATCCAGTAAGCAAATTCAAACAACATCAAAGCTGCGTCCAGATGTCAGTAAATTATTCTTTTCAGCGTGTATTTGGCTTAAAAGCAAGAGTGTTATAATGGATGCTGGCTGAAGGCATTTTAGATTTGCGGTGGTCAGTGGTTTAGTGATTCTGAATGGATCAGGATAGGTAGGTCAAGGCGGGAGCTGTAGTGGTCTTTGGCAGCTCCTTGTGGTCCTGTTTGGTATCGCAGCTCGACTTATGCTTATTGGTATTGAAACGTTTACTTAATTATTGATTGATTGTGGCACTATACATACATTGTGAATTCAGAAAATTAAAAAGTACTTATTAATTTATTTATTTAATATAAAAAATTAAATAAGGGGGTTGGTCAGGGGGTGAGTACCGGTACCTTCTTTTTTTTCACTTCAAGCACTGGGTATAATTATTGTAATAGCAATTTGTTCATTTGTTCTTGTTTACTGGCTGTCACTTGTCTTTAATAATGTTTGAACTTTATATTTGTTTGGCTAGTGGTTTTTGCTGTGGTATTAAAATTGAAATCGAGAATTGTCCAATTTTATTGGAATCTAAAATACTGGTGTCATATAAGCTTATTTATTAGAATACAAGATAACATAGATTAAAAAAAACTGATAACAGCAACTATTTTGTTTTATTGTATTTATTTTTATTTTTTATTTTTATTTTTTGTGGCAGGGACAGTGAAAATGTTGGCAGGGCAAGTAATAATTTGAAACACTGGCCCAACCGGGCCAGTAGAAAAAATCCTTAGCATTGAGCCATTTTTCAGCGCCATTTTATTCCCAACTATTTTTTATTTATTTTTATTTTATTGTCAACTGGCAATCACTTAAGTCAAATGCAGTCACCAGGCTGTACCCGTTAACTAAGGCAAACATGCCAGGAAAATGTACATTTCAAGAGCTTTGGCTACAAAATGACCACTTCAAAGACTGGGTGTTAAAAGTAAACAACAGAAAAGCAAAAACTAAATGTGAAGAAATAAAAAGACTTGAGTAACGAACTTGATGACAAACAGAAAATCCTTCTGGGCGTTTAACCCCTGACAGCATAAAAACCATAAATTAATTTCTGTAGAAATAATACAGAAAAATATCAAAGTGCATTTAATGGGTAAAAGCAAAAAAAAAAAAAAAAGGAAGTGTGTATGTGTGTTTAACTTAGTTTTATACTAAAACGTCTGTGAACAAGTAAATAAAGCTTGCAGATGGATGGATTTAAAATACTGTCTGTGGCTGGTTATTGTCTGCTCAGTGCTCAGCACAACAGAGGCCTGTTTTTTGGTTCATTACAGGTCATGGAAATTCAGCTTTTTAGTCAGGGAAAAGTCAGGGAATTTGACATTTGGCGAGTGGGAACCCTGATACTACAGATATCGATATTTTATGCATGACATCGATACATCGTATCGTTAGACATTTGATCGATGTATCGATCCATTGTTACACCCCTAATTATTATCAATATTTAAAACCGTTGAGTAAATTTTTTCAGGATTCTTTGATTAATAAAAATATGCAAAGATAAGCATTTATCTGAAATAAAAAGCTTTTGTAACATTATATCATTCAAAATCTTGGAGTCGGTATAATTTTTTTTTTGGGGGGGGGTTATAAAAATGAATACTTTTTAATTTAGCAAGGATGCATTAAATTGATCAAAGGTGATAATAAAGACATTTATAATGTTACAAAAGATTTCTGTTTCAGATAAATGCTGTTCATCAAAGAAACTTTAACAAATTCTACTCGGCTGTTTTCAGCAATAATAATAATAATAATGGTTTTTGAGCAGCAAATCCGTATATTAGAATGATTTCTGAAGGATCATGTGATGCTAAAAATTCAGCTTTGAAATCACAGGCATAAATTGCATTTTAAATTATTCAAATAGAAAGCAGTTATTTTAAATAGTAAAAATATTTCAAAATTTTACTGTTTTTGCTGTACTTTGGATCAAATAAATGCAGGCTTGGTGAGCAGAAGAGACTTCTTTAAAAAAAAAAACATGAAAAATCTTTTGACTGGTAGTGTACGTTCATAAATACATTTTGTGTTTGGTAAATTACCTGTGTCAGGTAGTGTGCAGCAGACACACCCACCTTAACAATTTCAACATATCGCTTATCCTGGCCAAAAAGACCATAAACATTCCTGATAACATCTTAAGTAACAATTAGTTTACATACATGTAAACTAAAAATAATACTGTGCCACTGATACGCTGCAAATCAGGTGATTTTTAGGTCAGTGGTTTGGCTGTCAGTCAATGATGCCCTCTGTCGATAGGGAATAGCGGTATGGCCACTTGAACGCTTCTGGTGGCTTCACTGCCTGATATGAGTGAGCCGTGAGCAGTCCAGTTAGTTAGACAGATCAATGGTTCCAACCAACAACCCAAGTAGCATTCCATTAGAGAAACCAGGAAAGAGCCTGAGAACACTTAAAATAACATCCTCCCACTAACAACATTTTTGGCCAATCCCCCTGTCAGTTGTCACACAGTATCGGTTTTGTTTTATTTGTAAAATATTCAAGAAAATGTGTTTTGTTGTGCTTTCATGTAGGATTCTGATGATACTAGAATAAGAATTTGATCCTTTTTTATTTTAATCAAGGTTAATCATTTGTAATGCAATTCCTTTCTGTTTAGCGGGTGTGGTTGGATTGCTGTGCCTTGTGTATTTCAAGTGTTTCAAGAAACGGTAAGTTATCTGCACTGTCTCAGTTGCTTCTTATGTGTTTTCTAGGCTCTTGTTCTCACACTGTCATATTGGGTAATAAATTAATACTTTGCATTCATGGTTAGCAAAACGGTTCGAAGGTTCGGGTGAAATTTCCACACATTTTCCATGGGAAATGGAGATGCCTTTGAGGTTTAGGATTAATATACCAGCTGTTTATCATGCACATGCTGACTTTTGGATTGCAGCTCAAAGCTGCAAAGGTGGTGACTATTTCCTGGTGTAGAACTAGACTACCCATAATCCTGCAGAGAACACCACCTTTCAAAGAAACCTCTGCTCCCATGAAGCATTGCAAATGACATAGAGTCCGTATCCCTCCAACTACCCCTCTCAAGCTGTCTGTGAATACTCTATAGACGTTCACTTTTTCAAAATCTGTTCTTTTCACCATCAGGTGATTGGAACATACCTTAAAAGTACTTATATTAACAGATGGATGCATATTTCTGAATATTTTGCAGTCGGATGTATTTTTATAGTCAGTTGTATTGTTTTTGTTTTAGGCATATCATTCACATTGCTTCATGGGCATTCTGTATCCTGCTTTTTTGCTTCAAATCAGAATACATAATGCTGAGATTCATCTTGGTTGTTTATTTATTTAAGAAATGTTTAAATCCCTTTCAGCAGAGAATGCTGACAAAGTGTACTGTCACCTTTTTGAGCAGGTGATTAAATATAAATGCAATAATGTATCAAACCACAAAATGCTTCATTGTACATAAAAATTCAAATGAAAAAAAAATTTCCCTTGAAAAATTCTTGTGGAAATTTCTTCATTTTTGCAACCCTTTATGCTGATATGGGAAGCAGTGTGCCGTTTTGTTTATTCCCCCGGGTAGAGGGGTTTTCTGTGTTTAAGAGTGGGGTGAGGTCTTGTAAATGTGTGCTGGATTTAGGTTTAATATACCCAGCTATTAGTCTATGCACATGCTGACCTTTACCGTACTTTTGGATTGCAGCTCAGACCATGAAAAGGTTGAAAAAAAGGATGAGGATGGATTATAACTCCCTCACATACCTGGTAAGGACCATGGGAACTATGCAGCTTTCTCAAAGACAAAAAGTCTTCTCCTACTTCCTCCTTGTAACGTCACAAAAGAGTTTCTGAACATCATACAAGCCATCATTGCCATTTAAATGTGGGCGGTCAGATTTCTGATGTCAGAAGCCCATCAATCCCAAAATATAAGAATTTCAGAACAAGTCAGTTAAGACTTTAGGATCGTGGAGGATTTTTGAGTTTTGAAGGTTCTTCCTCATGTATTTAGCATATCCATACATGCATATGCATATTGTCATTTATTCATCAACTACCCCGAGTGTCTTCAAGACGCGGCTTATTCTTTCTTCTAGCTAACTGGGACTTACCAGGTTTCATACCTTTAAAAAAATATAGAATATTATCATTTATATAATTCATTCTTCGTTCTTAATTAATGGCATGCATTATTCTGTTACTCTTTGTGAATGACTTGTGTAATTTTTGCACCTCTAATTACAGGTCTTCATGAAGTTGTCCTGGCTGAAATCCAAGTGAAGAATCCTGCAAATATATATACGCACTTTCCAGAACCCAGCAAGAGGCGGACTGATTTCACGCAACAAATTCCTCCATAATCAGAACCAATGTTACTTAAAAAAAAACAAGCTTAATTTGGAAAAAATCCTTTCTCGCCGTCTTTAACTTTTTTCCCATTCTGTACTCTGACAGATCTGTCATCTTCACATAAGTCAGGTTGATTTCACTTTTATAAAGTGTATGCTTGTCATTTCTTAATTTTTAACACCGTTAATACAGTGATCACTCTTCCTGAGAACATCTAAGGATTCATGACAAAAAAGTGCACAGACTGTCCCTTACCTCACTGATTTAGTCGAGGGCTGCATTTAGCATGAATATTTATGTAGAAAGTCTGATCAACTTTAAAAGAGATGAATGTCTAAATTTGTAACTATTTCATAGTATTTGGGAATCCACATTGTTCAAACAAAACCAAATGTACAATGCTTAAGGCTTTGTTTTCATTTTGCCTGTTGTTACTTTTCATCTGGGTAAAACATGATGTGTATATTACCCTTCCAGTAGATACACTGCAGAATGTGATTTGCAGCGCAGGTTTTAAACTGAAAGTTCTGCTAAATCCTGCGGAAGTACTTAGTGCCTTTTCATTCTACGGTTTTTGTTAAGGGTTATCTAGCTGTATGTGTTGAGCAGGATTTGTATAGGTTCTAATTACATTAGAAATGCTTTGCTATTGGACGATTACAGACTTAGATCTAATGAAGAAAAGACAATTTGGTAAACTTCATTTCTGTGATGTTAAACGTCATTTACTTTTGTCTATTTTATTAATATTTACAGATTTTTCCAACGTATTTAAGCCCAAATACCTACAGAGGCCTAATTGCTTTTTGTTATTGGGCATTGTTTTTTTCACCCTTTTGGAAAAGTTTGCTAATTTCAATAATTTATACTACCTTAACTAGCTCTTGCCAAATTGCAGTCATGTAAAATCGTCTAGTTTAGTTCAGCTAATATTTTCAGCCATTTTTGTTAAATTGGTCAAAAAGTAATTTAATTTTAACAGCAAAATTTTTCTCCAAATGAGTGGTTTTTCGGTTGTTTGTGTGTGTGTTAAAATTTACTGTTTAATTGTTTTTTTAGCTTGCAATTTCAAAGATGTATCATATTGTTGTATTGTAGCAAACTAGGAATGCACTGGCATGACGCTGCGACAGTGCTAATTCTGGAAATCAGCAAAGTTGATCAAATATAAATCCACTTCTTGAAATTCTGTATTTCACTGAGATGTCTGCGTGCCTGGAAAGTCTCAAAATAAAAGCTCCACAATCAAAACAGAACACTTGGGTTCTTAACTGATAAAGGTTTCCATTTGTTCACTTTATTTTAGTTCTTAGATATTGCAGACTTAAGCATTGATTCTGTTTGACAAAGTCTGATGTTGTAAAATTAGATTTTGCAAGACCAGTAGCTCCATCAGTAGATGCATTTCATAGTCAACCAGTACAGCTGCTTTCTGTATCACAAGGCTGCCAATAAACCATGTTGAATTTCCCCTAAAAGCATTGTTACAAGGAGCAATCAGTTGAGATATTTAGTTGTAGTTTAATCATTCAAATAGAAAAATTGATGTTTATCACATGATTGCAATGCACTGCTCTAATTGCAAATCTAGTGACATGAACTGCTCATTTGAATCAGTAGAATATACAATGTATGTTTAACGACAATGCCCAACAAAACACATTGTAAAATAACACAACATGAATCCTACTACACATGGCATATTTTGAATGGACAATTTTGCTCCAGTGAGCTTTTTAACAAATATAGTCACTCCAATTAACATTACGTCAAGTTGCACAGCCAACAGCAAAATTTATACTGCATTTATAAACAGATTTACGTCTCCTATAAACCATTCAATCTTTGTATTTTTACACAATTTTGGGCATCTCAAATTAATTAAAACATTTTATCCATTGAAAACACATGAATGCTAGGTAATGTTGGCACTTTTATTAGTCTAATAACCAATAAATCATAATTTAGCTTAATTTGCATTTGCATTTTAATTTAGCACTTTTCATTCTCCATGCAGTGACTGGTCCATCTTAGGCACTTAAATTGTACATTTGGCATAATTAAATATTGGCAACTTTTAAATGTACAACTACACAAACATATACAAATCCAGTACAATATGAGAAACAAACCACCAGATTTATAAGACAAGACAAATAACAGGAGTCCAAAAAAAACAGCACAAGATGTTCTAATGCAAAACGTGTCAAAGACGTTATTGCATTCATAAGTCTGTCTAGTTTACCAGTAGACAGAGAAACATGCATGTGCACTGTATGTGTACTGAAATGTGTAAGTTCAATTTAATGCATTAGGTATCATGAACAACTTTTTGCAGCATTTATTAATCTAGACCAATGTTAATTTACAAATACAAAATACATATAATATTCAGTGGTAACCCATGTTCCTTCATATATATGTGTATATGACATGTATAAATATATATATATTAATATTAAAAATGCTGTAAAGGAATCATTCACTGTTTCATGTTAGCTAGTGCATGTAATGTATAGAACCTTATTGTAAAATATTAAATAATTACAAATGTAATAAGGGAGAGATGAAAATAATTTCACCACTTTCTACAAGACATCAAAATAAAATTGAAAAATATGGTTTGCCTTTGAATATACATACTCTTAAAAACACTCATGCTAGATCCATAAATTCCTGATTACCAACCACATCAGTTTTCACACATACAAATCAATGATATTTTGACAACATGACAGTTTTTGGTTGTTTTCGGCTCAAATCACTCACTCTGAGGCACTGAAATCGCTGGGCCTTTTGGATCATCAAAGCGGTCCATGGTGCGAACCTGCATGATCATGTGCAGGCCGTAGGTAAGAATGAACACCATGAGCAGAGAGGTCAGCAGGCCCATCCAAATCCCCGGAGTGAAGAATCCTGCACAATCGCTGGCATACGAGAAGTCTTCACCAGTAACGCTGAAGCCTTGGATCTGTGGGAAACATGATGCATCAATGTGGAGTATTTGTGGTATACTGTATATGAGTTTCGTTTAACACTACCAGTCCAAAACAGCGCGCTGATATAGTACCTGAAAATCAGTGAAGGACAGCGTCCACATGGTAGCGTTGTCTGTAGCACTGCGGGGCACCAGCAGGGGGCTCTGAGCGCTGCTCACGCTCTGGCAATGGAAAGAATACTCTGCAGGAGAGTAGATCCCACCGCTGGCGTTAAAGATGGCCCTCTGCCCATCATACTCCAGCACCACCTGCTCCATCACCGACCAGTCGCGAGCAGATACAGGAAAGAAGATCTTGCGCATAGAGAAGCTTTGGGGAAGTATCACAAATTAAAGGTGTGACAATATATGTGACCCTGGACCACAAAACCCGTCTCAAGTCGCTTGGGTATATTTTTAGCAATAGCCAAAACGATTTTTCGTTTATGCCAAAAATCATTAGGATATTAATTAAATCCTATTAATTAAAGATCATGTTCCATGAAGATATTTTGTAAATTTCCTACCGTAAATATATCAAAACTTAATTTTTGATTAGTAATATGCATTGCTAAGAACTTCATTTGGACAACTTTAAAGGCGATTTTCTCAGTATTTAGATTTTTTTGCACCCTCAGATTCCAGATTTTCAAATAGTTGTATCTCGGCCAAATATTGTCCTATCCTAACAAACCATACATCAATGGAAAGCTTATTTAGCTCTCAGATGATGTATACATCTCAATTTCAAAAATTTGACCCTTATGACTGGTTTTGTGGTCCAGGGTCACATATTGTTACAATACAAAAATACAACAATATATATCATGTATACACTATTGGCCAAATCTTTTAAATAATTACAATTTTTTTTTATGTTTTTGAAAGTCTCCAGTATTTTTTCTATAAAAATACAATAAAAAGTAAAAATATTAAATATTAATACAGTTTCAAAAGCTTATTTGATTATAAAATATATTTTATAATATTACATTTTTATCATATTTTAATTTTTAATATATTCCTGTGATGGCAAAGCAGAATTTTCAGCAGCCATTACTCGAGTCTTCAGTGTCACGTGATCATTCAGAAATCATTCTGATTTTCAATCATTTGATCAAATACATTTCTTGGTAAGCGTCTTTCCAAGAAAAAAAAAATCTTAATTAATCCTAACTTTTAACGCCTGGTGTACTTCACCCAAAATTCAAGTTTAGAAAGATTTAATTTAGGATTAAATATGGTAAAATAAAATAAAATAAATCACACAACTGAGCTTCCATGTTTATTAATAATTAGTAATAAAAAGCATAAAATACATTTTACACTTTTTTAATGTATTAAGTCAGGCACAGCGTGCAAGTATATGTGCTTAACATAATTTTGTGTGTGGGGGGTTTGTTTTTGTTTTCAAGATAAGCAGAAGCATGAATATTTCTATTTTGGTGTTGCTATTGGCCAGTACATGGGGACCAATGTTTATTCATTAAAAAAATGTATTATCTATTCAAAATATTGCGAAAGTATTGTATTGTCCGATCAGTATTGTGTATCGGTCCTTCAAAATCACAAATAATACATAACAATGAAGGATTATGTGTTAAATACTCACATAAGCCGGAGGGATCGGAAATTCAGAACATTTCGGTAATTAAGGACGAGTCTGAAAAACAAAATATTTGATACTTTCAAGAGAAAAGCATTGAAAAATATATTAATGTATACTGGATTCTGCTTTATTATGATTCTGACCGTGACAGTGTTTCATTGCAAACAGAACCAGCCGTGACGTCAGCAGAACCATTAAAAATGTCTCTTGCCAGATCAACCTGGTTCCCAGAGTAACTAGCGAGGAGAGTGTCGGCCCACAGCAGGATGCAGGGCTGTCCCGCTGTGTTGTTGACGACAAGTGGGGGTTTCACAGGTGACTCTGGTGGTGCCTGAAGTAGCGATCGGCCCACAGAATGTCCTGCCATTACTGGGGTGTCCTCAATGACCTACAAAAGAAGGATAAATGACAAAAGACATTTTTGTTCAGGGTTTCATCAAAGCTGTCGTGAATTGATTGTGTCAAATGAAAAGGAACATAATGTGAGAGAACAAAGTGCAGTACATACTAACTTTGTCCTTGTGATTTTACTTATTTGGATAAAAGCATCTTTGAAATGCATTCATGTAAATGTACAGAAAAAGTGAGGACTTACTCTAGAAGGCTTCAGGCCGGTGTATACAGCGGTGTAAGGCACATCCAGAGATTTGAACATGTCGAGGACCTCTCCCATGATCGCATCTAATCAGAAAAGAGATCTTACATACTATAGTAAAGTACAACAATACTGACAAACACATGGCATCAAGTCAGAAAGAATCAAACCACAAAAAGCAATACACAATCATACTAAAACCATTATCAAACCTGATAAAAAAAGTAACTACTCACCATTTTTCAAAAGCAATTCCTTTGTCTGATCCCTGGCATTCAAAAAATAAAAACATTTAAATTACCTTTATTTTAAAATTTTCAGTGTTATTCGTTTAGTAATTTTGTTGTACTCTTTTGTCATTTTCATTATTATTTTTTATTTTTTTTACATTTAGATTTAGCTTTCAGTTATTTTTTTATTGTTGTTGTGGCCAAGGAAACATATCTAATTTTCATTTAGGTTTTTTATGCTTCTGTTTTCCTCCAATATTTATACTTCATTTCAGCTTTATTTCAAAAACTAAATGATTTTTAGGTTTTAACAATATCAACAGTACAAAAAAGGAAGTTAACATTTTAACATTATTATTGAAATTCAGTGTGCCTTGCAAAAGCATTCAGACATTAATCAATTCCTTCATTTTACTGAAATATTGTGTTGTGTTTGTTTTATTTCAAAGCTCTGAAACACAAAATGTATCACTTTGGCATGACTTTGTTTTAGAATGTATTCTTTGAAACAGCTGAAAAGGCTATATTTTAGTTTCTGTGTTGCAGAAAGTTACTCAGATGAAAAGAATCTGAACCCTTTTTGAAAGACACTGTATAATATAAATAACATTACAGAACATCTTACCCAGCAGTGTAAGGGAGATGGACAGCCAGTAGTGAAGGCTGTGCGGTGTTCAGCTTGATTTCCTTCAGGGTGCTGGGGTCGATCTGGACTGCTGGGATACCCAGCTCTCCCTGGAGGAGTTCCAGGATGGAATGTGATGCAGACCAGTCCAGGGCTGGCAACACCAGGGGATTGGAGGACGTCTGAAGTGCTGACTTTAATACAGAGAGAGAAATGTTGACGAGAATGTTGAGAGAAATCTAGTTGTGCTATCCCGCCAGAATAAAAAAACAGAGCACACCCACCTCTACATTCAAAAAGGCACTGTCTTGCTTGTTGCCAAACACTCCACCGTACATAGTGAAGTCTTCCATACTTAGCTATAAAGTGGGGAGAGCAGGCAAAAAGTCGGTTATATTAGTATCACTGAGTCTGCAGATGATCAAAATTGTACAAGGGTAATGAAATCCTAGTATGCCCAAGGGAAGATGAATGGGGAAGTAAGACTGTGGCTCAAAGTCACACTATACTGACAAGTCCAGTAACAATGAGAATAAAAATATCAGTGTGAGAGGAGGAGACTACTTCACTAATAGTTCCACATTGTAAAATACATTCCTACTACACTGATCCCATTGTAAAGCTTTTCAATAATGTCAGAAATTAACTTAGGGACAATAAGGACAATGTGTGGAATTGATTTTAAAGGGCATTATTACCTTTATGAGGACATTTTTCCAACATACACCACATTGTTCACTTTCATATATTTCAATCAATTTAAATCGTAATAACTAGATAATATTTTATAAATGTCTAAAATTCTAAATAGCAGATAAAACACAAGAACGCAATGCAGGGACATTATTTTAGCCCCCATTGTAAACATGTGGGGCATTTTACCTGATCCTGTAGGAAGAGCAGCATACTGTGTGGAGCAATGGACAAGGCAGATTTCAGATAAGACGCCAGCTGCCCACCAGACACTGTCTGACCAGCTGTTGGTTGAGCCAGATGTGGCATGTTGGACCTGTATTGACAAAGATATCATTCAGTTTGCGACTCGCCTCAACAGAATCAGGCTGCCTTGAAACCTTGTCCACTGTAATGAAGCTCTACCAAACGCTTTTGAATGTCACTGTTAGCTGATTTAGCTGCCTGAACATATATAAGAAAAGCACAGCAGTGTTCTGGAGTTACTATAGAAGTCCATCAGAAAACACTATTCAAGAGACAAACGTGTGACGTACCCCTCACTGGTCCACATGAGCAAAGGCGCTTGAGCATAACAGCTATAAGTCGAGCAGATAAATAATAAAACCGACGTGAAGGCCATTGTTGAGAGACTACTGCGTCGCATTCCTACTTCCGTCATTCTGTACGAGAGTCACGTGAATGGCTGATGATCATGTGACTGTTTTTTTTTTTTCTTCCTTCAATCATGTGATTCTCTTCTGACTCGATTCGTTCACGTCCTCTGAACAGTGCGCAGGCGCGAGATGCTGATACAGTCTATGGTCGCAACGCCGAACATCATATGAATAAACCAACTACATTTGCATTATTTGCTAGGCCAGCAAGAAAAATAACATCCAGCCTCTGTAAATCATCTTCAATTTAAAACGCCATAATGATTACAAACGTTAAAAAATTAACTTTTAGATTTAAGTTCGATTTGGAACTTTATATGGTCTCACAATCTATCTATCTATCTATTTATCCTACATTTTAAAAAAAAACGTTGTCTTGCTGTACTTATTTGAGCAATGCCTGAAACTTGGTATTACGAGCACTTCCTGTGTCTGTTTGCCTCTTTACGAAGAATCGCATGTATTCCCCAATTGTAAGTCGCTCGCTATAAAAGCGTCTGCAAAATGACTAAATGTAAATGTAATGTAAATCAATCAATCAGTCTATCTATCTATCTATCTATCTATCTATCTATCTATGTCTGTCTGTCTGTCTGTCTGTCTTACCACAGTGAAGTTCATTTTAACAATCTAGCTCGTTTGTCTCCCTATGCTACCTGCAGAATCCAAATGTATCCTCGCTATTACCTATAAAAATATTAAATTGATAACAGTTCAGCAAAAACTACCTTTGTCTTGAAAGACTGCATAGAGATGCTTCTTAATACTCAATGTAAAGTTAGCATTTGTCTCTAAACACCTGGAATGCATTGGGATGACGCTGTAATTTCAGGACAACTTTATTGGGCTTAAATATTGACAGGCAGTCTCTATCATAGGTCGCATTTTAAATCACGCTTATTTTAATAACTGACAGATCACATATTATTATGAGTATGTTGATATATACGTGGAAATATTCGTTTGCAAAACACTAAAACAGATCTGATCTTAATCATTAATCATTCGTTAATTCACGAATTATTGAGAGAGGCTTCATCATCCACAGTGTTGTCGGCGGAGGGATATCTGGTACTGTGACTGCGCCCTGTGCCATTCAGATGTAAAATGGGGAAATGAAAGTGCCACCGAGCGTAGTCAAAATGTATTCAATAAGGTTACCCAGGATGTGAATTAGCGTTGATATTTTTAAAGAATTTATATTTACGGCTGAATTATAACTCTGGGTTGATGACATTCACAGCAATATTGATCATTTCCGTTTAGGGAGTTGCACTATATTATTTCGCGAACGTCTCCGCACCGCTGGAGCTCGTGCTGCGGTCAGGGCCATCTTTGGTTGTTCTCGCCGGTCGCACAACAGTCAGTGATCAATTGTGATACGTATCAAATTATTTGAGCGATAATTGTTTCCAAAGTGGTCGTTTTTGCCGCTAATAAGACAACAGACTGGTTCTTCATAAATATTTTGTTGCATCAACACCGTTTTGCAGATTTTTTTGCAGCGGAAATTTGTCTAAAGACGGGAGATACACTGTAATACAGCATGGATGAGGAATATGATGTTATCGTATTGGGCACCGGACTCACAGTGAGTAACGCATTCGGGTCACTGATGACTCGCTCGCTTTGTAAACAGTTTAAGATATTGCCGATGGATGCGCGGATACTTATAGATGTGGCTGTAGGCTACGAATAGATGCTTTGCGTTAGATTGAACCCGACGGCCTATTGCTGACGCATCCTTTGGACCAGTACTGTACTGTGTCTGTGTAGTGAGCCAGCATTTCTCGCAATTTCTGCATGAATATGAGTGCAATCCATCGCAAATCTACCTTCCCCGAATTTCCAAAGCCATTGAGGCTGCATCGTTACATTGACATGAAAGCGGTTATTAAAAAGTAATGAATGATTCTTCTCACAGTGTCTGGTTCTAAGGAGTGGCATCAGGTATCCCGTTTGTTCGGGCGTCGAAATAGGGGAAATATATGTATTTATTTCGGATATTTTGCCTTTTATGGTTTGCCAACGTAAAAGCTGTATTGTACTTAAGTGATGTTAGTTCACTGTCTGCCTGTAATTCTGGGTTTAGTGAGTATTTATTTTTGTTATTGTTATAATCTAAAGAGCCCAATTTTACAAACGTGAGAGCTTGACATTGGTTACATGCGTGCAAAAACAGTATTGTTAATAATAATAATAAAAACATAAAACAAAAAGTGTTTTTATCAAACGTTTCCTCTATTTTCCTCATGGAGGATAGTGGCTCATAATTTGGGCTGGGTGTAGCGATGCTGGATTCGTGAACGAATTGTTCTTGTGAGTCGGTTCTTTTCAGTGAATCGATCTGAGAGGTTCTTCGGTCGTTGACTCATTAATAGCCGAATAGTAGAAGTTTTATAAATACCTCCTAGAAATGTATTTACGACTTAATTATATGGAAGTTTTCAAACAAGAATAGTTGGATGTAAAACTTCAGCTAAGATGTAAACAAATTATAGTAATTATAGTTGTTTAATGTAACTGTAAATTATATTTAGGTTCTAAATTATTACTGTTTTATGTCATGGCTGCAACAAACGGAATTGGAACACACAAAATTACAATAAACACAGTTGTTAATCAAACTTCAAAACATTTAATAGGTCACGCTAGGATGTCAGAATGACGTAGACGAATCAGAAGAATTCGTTTTCGAAGCGCTCCGTTAACTGTTCAAAAGAACCGATTCGCGGAAATGAATCGCACTTTCCATCACTAGTAGGGTGGGGTGACTCGCATCCATCCCAGTGTTTAACACGGAAGTCAAGGCAATGGATAGATACCCGCTGCCATGTCAACAGATGAATACAAATTTTTTTTTTAATTATTTATATCCATGACCGATTATTTCAACTAAATGATGTTTATTTGTGTAGGAATGTATTCTCTCTGGGATAATGTCTGTGAATGGGAAGAAAGTTTTGCATATGGACAGAAATCCATACTACGGTGGTGAAAGTTCCTCCATCACACCCCTGGAGGAGGTGAGGATGCTTCACATTTACCACTGTCACTACTCCAATCTCATGTCTGCTTGATATTGCACGTTTACTATAGCTGTATAATTGCCAGAATAAATGTTGCTATTTGTAGCCATGTATTTTAACAAATTAATATTTTATTTTAATATTAATGTTTATATTTATATTAATATAAAATAAAAAAAAATTTAAACTTACACATGCACTCACATTTTACATGCTTTTCTCTCAGCTCTATAAGAGATTTGGGATTTCAGACAGCCCCCCAGAGTCAATGGGCCGGGGAAGAGACTGGAATGTGGATCTTATTCCTAAATTTTTAATGGCCAATGGTAAAAACTTAAGTAACATGATAGTTGGTGTGATAATATTGCTCAAAACATGTTTTTGGATTAGATTGTTGTCCTTTAATTCATGCAAGTCTGTAATTTTTTATAATATTCTAAATAATAATGTACCACTGCATTTTGTCATTGTTTTCTTCCTTAAGGTCAGTTAGTTAAGATGCTTCTATACACAGAAGTGACCAGATATCTTGACTTCAAAGTGGTTGAGGGAAGCTTTGTGTATAAAGGAGGGAAAATCTACAAAGTGCCCTCTACTGAGACAGAGGCACTGGCTTCAAGTACGTCCAGCTAGTGTTTTATTGTCTCTAGGACTAAATCGAGAATGATTGTTTTTGATAAAATTGCAGATTCATTTAGTTGACCCGTGACATGTGTTGCTTAGACCTAATGGGAATGTTTGAGAAGAGACGTTTCCGCAAGTTCCTAGTTTTTGTGGCCAACTTTGATGAGAACGACCCCAAGACTTTTGAAGGTGTTGATCCCAAACTCACAACAATGGGAGACGTGTACAAGAAGTTTGACTTAGGTCAGGACGTCATCGACTTCACGGGACATGCCCTGGCCCTCTACAGGACAGACGAGTAAGTGTCGCTAGTGTTACAAAACCCCAAAAGTCTTATCATTGCTCTCATCTTTAAACTTATAATTTAAGACAAGACACTATAGGAAAAAACATTGTTTTACACCTTTATTTATCTGCATCTGTATATTTCAATTACAACACAAATCTTTAAAGGTTTTTTTCTCAAAATGAGTTTACATTTTTTCCACTTCAGTAGCACTTAAATACATCAAACTTTCAGATTTTATTCCTATCTATATTCTGATGATTTTTACAGGAGGGTTTGTTTCTATGTCATTATATAGCTTTATTTCTGGCTGCTGACAGTATTTTCTCATTTATAGAGTGATAGAAAGAGATGTCTTTTGAACCCGGCTTTATCCAATGTTCAGATTTCTTTTGTGGAAATGTATGCAAATCAGTGCATATTTAATCAGATAATGCATTATTTGCATATTCAAACACAACACCTTAGAAGTATTGTAGTACAAAACAATTGTCTTCATACACTGTGATTAATCAGCTGAGGAAGTACTCTATTATCTATTAGATATCTATTCACATGTGGTGTCTTGCTTTTGGCTTGCCAATGCTTTTTCATTGGTGGTAAATGTACTAAAGTGAATTGAATTCCTCCTAGTTACCTTGAGCAGCCGTGTCTGGAGACCATCAGTAGGATCAAACTCTACAGTGAGTCTCTGGCACGCTACGGGAAGAGCCCATACCTGTACCCTCTGTACGGACTGGGGGAGCTGCCTCAAGGGTTTGCTAGGTCAGCCGCTCCTCCCACCCAATCATCCTAGTAATCATGTGTTGAGCGTCCTTGTGTTATAAATATGGTCCTTTTCCCTTGTGAACTTACAGGTTAAGTGCAATTTATGGAGGAACCTACATGCTGAACAAACCAGTGGACGAGATAGTGATGGAGGGAGGACATGTGGTAGGCGTGAAATCGGAGGGAGAGGTAAATCTTTAGAGACAAGTGTTGTTTGCAGTGTGATATAACAAAAAATTCATAATTAAATAGAAATAATTTATGTAAATTATTAAAAATTTAACTGATTTATTACAAAATGACAATGCATGGATTTTCCTTTGAGACAGAATTTACATTTATAT